TTACTTCCAAAATCTGAGTCACCACTTGTTGTGTTATTATTATTTTGTTGCCAAAATCCCCGTTGCCAATTGTTATGATATTGGTATGTCTGGGTTTGCTATCACGCGACCTATCGACCAATCCGGATACGACTTATACGAATCTTCACACTAGGCCAACCAATGACGTCCAACCGGTGTGGGCAGTCTAGCGTCCTTATTGGTCCTATGTCCTACGAGCCTTTCCACTTGAGTCCAGAACACAATACCAGCTTCGAATCAGAGCAGATCGTTTATTTCAAACATACTCGGTTTATATATCAACCGGACAGACCACAACACACCATAAATTAGAATATAACATGTGTACACAAATGAGACAAAAAGTGGCTGTGAACGAGGGAGATAATAATTAATAGACTGAACATAGATTAAGAACCGTAAATCGTATAATAATAAATTATAGTTCAAAATAAAGCTTATAATAAGAGGAATATAAATATACATAATCTAATTATTGAATTGTTATACAATAAGAATATTTATAGAATATTAGTCTACTAACAGTCTTCGTAAGTTACCTATAACTTAATCTTCACTGGGTTATAACATCTCCCATCAGTTGTGACATCGGCTTGGTTGATGTAATGCGACAGCCTATACATCTATGTATAACCCTCTTGATTGCCGTAGTGCCCTTCAAGATCCAATACTTTTTACGCAAGGCGACTAGTATGTGGTACACCCCCACGTGTCCTTCAACTTGATTGTAATACTGAATGATAAGCTCAGTTATAGGGTGCTTACTGGGTTGAATAATCGAATGTTTCTGCTCCATCGGAAGGTCACTACTGTTCAAACGTCCTCCTACACGAATCAGGTTGTCAATTACGATTGGTCGTAACTTATTAGTAACATAATTCTTGGACGTGATGTTGTCTGAATGCTTGTGTCGTTTAATCCAATGGCCAATTTCCGCTAATTCTTGCCCTTATACGTATTCCAATAAGTCTTTTTCGGCATTATCCAATTCGTTAAGCGTAAGGGGTCCACACTTTTAATCGTTTTATTGTGGAGGTAATGTTTGAATCTAATGAGCCAGACTGTGCATTGTTTGATTTTGATCCATGACGAAAAATACGATATAAATCTATCGAAGGGAAAAACTGTAGTCATGGTGTTCAAGGTTGTAGCGTTATTTAACTCTAGCTCGACTGGGAGTCTTAATATTTCTTTCCGTTTATACTCAGGCTATTTATTCTTTTCGGTCGTTAGGAATTCGGGACCTGAAAACCAAGCTTCAATACAATTAGGGTCATACTTACATATTCCTCTGGAACCTAAATCAGCAGGATTGATAGATGATGGTACATACTTCCATTGAGATGGCCTAGTTCGTTCGTGAACGAAGTTAATTCTATTAGCTATATAGGTCTTGAGACGTGACGTTGTAATAAGTATGTAGTTTAATACTGTCATAGAGTCTGTCCAGAAGTAGATTTCAGTCAAGTCTTCCAGTTTTATTTCTTCTACTGGGGCTTGCAGTTCAAGGCGGGGAACACTGACAAATTTTAGGAGTGCTATTCTAGATTTGCCTAGGATGAAGCTACATCTCGTTACACTTGCATCATATTGTAATCTCATATAGGATATAGGCCACGGCTCCGTAACCGCTTTCTGAAGCATCCGAAAACAGATGTAAAGAAATCTGTCCTTTATCGTACGACTCAATATTCAAACATCGTGGTATCCTTAGGGCTCTGACACCTATGGTGGTTCCCAGAAACAGGAGCTTATACAAGATATATCGATACACTACGTTAATAATAATATACCAAGAGAGTTAACAGTAAAAACCCTAGGTGTCCGTCTGCGAGTAAATCCAAGGGTAACAAAATACAGTTAGGAATACAAATGGTATTTTAAACAAACAGATAATATCAGTTATTATGTAATGAATGTTACTTGTAAGCTGCCTCGTGAGAAAACAACCACAAATTGAGTTCACTTGATTGACGAGGATTCCTCTGCAAGTAATTGCACCAACAGCGTAATGAGAAAGAGTCCAATAGTATTATATAATAATAATCCGTACCAAAAGTCCAACGTAGTGTCGGAAGGCCTAAAAGGATGTTATAGGTGGCACAAAACGGTGAAGATGTAGCCCCGAAAGGGTGTACATGCAACCCATAGACATCAGGGGGAGAGTCAAGATTACCATCAGGATACCATAAAAAGCTGAAGGCTGTTGCACCCTCTTCAGGAAGACGTACCTGAAGGAACATTTCTTCAATGTCTGCTGACAATCCAATTTTATGCTCTCTGAATCTAAGCAAAACTCCCACCAAGTCGTTTGTAAGATCCGGTCCAGAATGTATACAATCATTTAGAGACGTGCTTTGTAATTTAGCGGCACAGTCAAAGGCTATTCGAACTTTACCTGGCTTTTTAGAGTTAAACATGGGGTGATATGGAATAAAATACCTGTCTTCTTCGATAGCTTGAATCACTCGAGACGAATATCCTTTACTTTTGTGAGTGGCTAATATATATTGGTATACTGTTTACAAAAATGCTCGTCTTTCAATAACTTTTTACGCAGGTGAATTAATCGTCTTTCTTTTTCATGTTTATTCTTTGGAAGTGAGTGCCAATCCACTTTCCAGGGTATCGGCACTCGATAATTTCGGTCGAACAATATTGTTTGTTTGTCAGTTATTTCCACAATGGCCTTATCACATGGTGACATAGCAATCTTATATGAGTACTTATTTTCGGAAAATTCATGTTCGAATAATTTGAGAATGTCGTCCTCGATAGAACTTTTTGCTTCCAAACAGTTTGTGAAGACTGAGGTTTTACTAACTTGATCCGTTGGCCCAAATAAAGCCCATCCTAACATGGTTAGCGAGGCGTAAGGTTGTTTGGGCTTCCCGATACGTTGATCGAGAACCCAATGGGCTTCTGGAACGTCGACTCCAAGTAACAAACCTACTCTGTCGCATGTTATGGCAAGTAGCCGTACACCTTTCAAATGTTTCCATCTTTTCTGGAAGTCGGTCGGTGGGATTTCCGCTTTTTTAATAGGTAAATTATCGATAGCGTATGCGCCTTCAATCCTTATCCGGTTAGTGTTATCTAAGTATTCGATTTCGAAATTAATAAGTTCGGCGTTCTGGGATAACGCTCCAATTACAGAGGATATCTTCAGTCGAGTCGTTGTACCCGAAATTCCCACTTGCTTTGCTACATCACTAAGTATTAGGGTCGTATCTGAACCGTTATCAAACAGTGCATACGTATTTACGTGTCCTGTGGGGCCATGTAACCTGACAGACACGGGCCTCAAGTACGTTCCAGTAGAATAAATAGAGTTGCAGTGTGCTTTTTTAGTGTCAGGGTCTGTGTTGTGAAGAATTTTATGATGGCGTCGTTTACATCCAACGACTTCACACAACATGGGTTGCCGACAGTCCGTTGCTCGATGATTGAGCTTTAAACAATTAAAGCACAGCTTAGACTTCTTCAGTAATTCTAGCCTCTCGTTGTGACTTACTGCTAGCAACTGTGGACAAGATGCGACTTCGTGGGCGTCAGAGCAGATTACGCAATGCACTTTTCCTTTGTTCAACAAGGTATAGATCTTAGCTCTAATGGAGACAGACTGGATGTTCGATGTCGTTTGAGCTTTGTAGCTCCCACTTGTTAACTGTCCATAAGTGTTCGTAGCGATCGACACTTTCCTTTCTAGGAATTGTAACAAATCATCGAGATTAGGCTCTAGCCCTCTAAGAACATTGGCACACTTATCGGCGTCCGACAATGGTGGTCTTTCTCGACTTAAAGGTAGCATTTGTTTCCGTAGACCGTGAGATTCTATGGCAGTGTCATTGAAAGGCGTACCTCAGAAGTACATAAACCTTGTGAAGGCTCTTTACTCGAACACCGCTAGTCGAGTCAGAGCTTATGGCGAACTGTCATCTGATTTTGCAACCTCAAGTGGTGACCGTCAAGGCTGTCCACTTCCTCCATTTTTGTTTAACTTTATCATAGACTTACTGATGGAAATAACATTCTCGTCGACAGAATTCTCAGATATTGACCTCCTTCCAGGAGGTCCATTTATCGACTTAGAATACGCAGATGACATAGTCCTGTTTGGTGAAGACGCTGATAAAATGCAGTCGTTTGGTAGCACTAAGCAACAATGCCAGAATGTTTGGAATGCGCTTCTCTCCCTTTGAATGCAAGCTGTTGCTTCAGGACTGGTCTGCGTCAACACCTGAACTACGGATAGGGAATGAAGTAGTCATGAGTCTTGTTAGTTTCTGCAGCCCTGCTACATCGTTCTGACTTAGTGGTGATCCGTTTAATAATTCTGTTAAAAATGCTTCTACGATATCATGTGGTCTGCTAGACTGCTTGTGTAGAATACTAATTGCCTTAGTTTAACCTTCTTCTTCCGGTAGTAAAACACACTGTTCTATAGCATCTTTTGCTATACCTTCACAATAGTGTATCAAGTACATTAATGGCTGAGTGTCCTCGTTTACTCTGTCAGCGATGTTAGCCTTGAATCCCTCCATGGACGTCCGAAATCTTAGAGGACTTCTGTCGGATTCCATGATGTCTATCTTCGGTAGGCTTACCGTCATGAATAGCGACTTGATGCTATCTACGTGTGCTTTAAGTTCTATCTCGCCGCTCACTGCTGAGTTGGAATATCGGTGACTAGCCGTATCTACGTGAATTATGACTTTGGATCGAGACCCAGATAACTTGGTAATCTCCCTTGGCTTTCTCACTTTGTGTAAAGGTTTCGGCGTTAATTCGAACAATCGTTTACGAAATTGAAGCTCTCGAATCTCTATACCAAGCTTTTCTACCTCTTTTTCCCTTAAAACTGCCTCATCTTCTATTCTAAATCCAGTCTCTATATAGGTAACTACTAAAGGACAGCTATCTTTGGGGTTTGGTTTAACATTATTAAAAGCAAGATTTAAAGAAGTAGGTGAGTTCACCTTAGAAACCGAAAGAACAGTATTTTCAGCGCTTGAATCGTCTGTATCTTCAGAACTGTCGACATTGTACTTCATTCTTCTCGTCCTTGTCATTGTTGGGTCAAATTAACCGAACCAAATCCCGACCACAGTTCGTTACAGCGAGTATCCAGTCTTCAGTAATAAGGATAGTAGGTTGATGAACCTGTGTTAATCCTGACACATTGCTTTCCAGTGAAGGTCCAGCTTTTCCTTGAAAGTATTCACTGATGGGGCTGATACCACTTGTTCGGGTAAGGCGTTTCAATCATTGACTACTCGATGAGAAAAACGGGATCCCACTTTAAGTTTATTAGATCGTGGTTTATGAACCTTCTTGCTATGACTTCGGAGATTAATAGTGCTGGAGGGAGCAAAAAGATAAGACATATTAACACCCAAATCATAATTAAAGATACGAAATGCCAGTATAAGGTCACCTCGTGTCCTACGATACGACAAGGGGAAAAGATTTAGGCGTTTTAAACGCTCATCGTAAGGGAGTCTAGAAAGACCCTTCACTAATTTTGTTCCCACACGCTGGACACGCTCAAGGGAGTTAGTATCCTTTACCAGACACGGGCTAGCTGCTTGGATACAGTACTCTAAATGTGGTCTAACATATATGGGATATAAAATTCTAAACATTTCCTCGTCAAAAGATTTGAACGCTCGGCGAAGTGACCATAACGCACGAAAACCTTTGACAGCGGCTGCTTTGCAATGCTTAGTTGTTTTTAAATCATGACTTAATATTACTCCTAAGTCTTTATGCTCTTGAACGCATGGAAGAGGTTTACCCTCAATAGTGTAACGGTAACTATTACCGTGACCGATGTGCATTAGCACACTCTTCCTAGCATTGATTTCTAAGCCCACTCTCGAGCCCATCTAACTAAATCGTCTAAGTCAGCTTGAAGATCCACATGATCAGCCGCACTTTTTATTGTTCTCCAGATTTTTACATCATCCGCAAACAATAATGTCGACGACCTAAGTAACAGCGGTAAATCATTAACGTAGAGAAGGAAGAGCAGAGGGCCTAAGATGGTGCCTTGGGGTACACCACTTTTGACCGGCTTCCAATCGGATAGCGTTCCGTTGACTCTAACTCTCTGTCTGCGGTCACATAAGAAATTTCCTATCCACTCATGTACAGTGCCTATTATTCCGAAGCTCAGAAATGTTTTCTACGCTTTAACAGCTTCCGGGTTTCCTTATTAATCCATGGAGGGCAATGTGATAGCTTACGTGCTGACCATGGGATAAACGGCGACGTTACGGACTCGAATGTAGCCTTAAACTTATTCCATTCATCTTCGATCAATCCATCCGCGTCGACCGACCAATCAGTCGAGATAGCACAGTTTCTGATTTCCGGAATATTGGCTCGCCAGATATTGGGACGGGGTGGAGCAGATACGAATTGTATACCATGTGTCCTAAACCTAAAGTGAATTACAACGTGATCACTGTTCACTAGTGGAGGAAGGTGCTGGATATCAAGGACATCCTCAGAGTGGTGGGTGAGGGCGAGGTCCAGCAGTGACGGAACATGTTGCAAATCAATATGTGTCGGTTTTATGATACATTGTACAAGTGCACACTGAATAACGGTAGATAAAAGGTCGCTATCGAAACCACTACCTGGAGCTGTAAGCTCTATCCAGTTGATATGCGGTGCGTTGAAGTCCCCAATGATGAGACAACATTCTGCCATACTCCAAGAACAGATGTGTCTTAGGATAAAGTCGTCAGCAAGACAAGATGGACTACGGTATATTACCCCTATAGTCACTAACCCATTTCTAGATTTAATCTTACAACATGCAACCTCACATGCGCCACTGATATGAGCCTCTGATATGGTTGATTGTATGCGAAAGTGATCCCTAACATATAATATTACACCTCCCCCTTTGCGACTAGAAACTCTATCACTTCTGATACAGATATAACCAGCAATGAAAGGAGGACAGTCTATATCAACGGTGAACCAAGTTTCTGTAACAACGATTATATCGGGACGTAATTCTTGTACCACACCAATTCGGACCAATGTTGAGAACTGTTAGATCTATCGAAGCGTCTAGGTCACCCGATTGAGATACACGGGAGACCGAAGTCCCAAAACAACGATTTGTCTACAATAGCGATTTTTTATTGAATAGTACACAATTTAGTTACAACCCTTAACTTGTGAGGTGTCTGGGGTGTTCAAACGCGTCCTTCAAACATGAAAATAAGAAAGGCTTCCTGTAACGGTAACATAAAGAACAATTATAACATACGATAGTACAAAAGACAGCTGATAGCTGTGTTTATATTTGACAACAGTTTATGAGCAATCGAAACCCGAACCAAGAGCAAAACATTATTGAAACTGCTGCGTTTAAACAAATGCACGAAACTGTGAATAACCACCGCAGTGATTAAAGTATAGTAATTAAAATGATGAATACAATGATAGGTCAAATAAATGTAATATATATGTGAACATTTTTGAGTAATTACACTACAACTTGCGTTACAACATAGGTGTAAAAATTGTTGGAAATACAACTGCTTACTGAATGTAAATAAGTAGTACAAAATACAATATACAAAAGAGTGGAAAGGGAGTGAGTGGAACAATGTAAGATAAACTTAACACCGTCTATATCATTGTCTTTCTATTTAATCTTCAGAGTAAAAGCTTATTCTTTTGAGTAAATTATCAATGTTACTAGCTAGATAAATGTATGAACCTTTTAGTCATACTTGAAGTAAATTTCATACATATGTATGCTTTTAATAATTTTCATCACATTTCAATATTCAACTATGATCTCATAAATATTCCATGATTTTTCATAAGATGTAATCACAATTCTCTAAATAAATTATATGAGAATATTCGAACTATACAAATTTCATGCACTTATCATTAATATAATTTTACGGTGTAATACTTTTCTGGAATCATTACAAAGCTTTCCTGAATGCTCTGGTACGATAGAGAGTGGAGAGAGTTAGCTCTCCCACTCCGAATGCTCTCACATGGCCACGTGAATGCAATCACTGTCAGGGAAGTCCTACTCATTGCTTTCTCGTGGCATTGCTGTTGTTTACGAAAATGAGAGGATGAAAAGCGAATGTCCGACGATCTAACCGGGTTGGTGAACATGGAGAGTCCACCTAGGGGAGTTGGAAAACCCTCATTCCAAACAAATGGTATATATGAGCTTCAGGATCCTGGAGGAATAAATGGCGTGTGAACCTATTGTTGGTGACCGGCTACCATGGAACTACATCTCCTGATGTTGCTTCACTGCCTAGTGGATTAGAATTTTAAATTAAAGGCTCGAGGAGTGACCCCCTAAGAAAATCACCTGCTTCTGTTTGAGCACTCGAGCAATATCCCACCCTCAACTTATGTATCGCATATCTATTTGATGCCTCCTTGTACCAATATTTATGTGTTTAAATAAATTATAAAATCACTACAAAACATCAGATATACTTCGTTCATATCTGCTGTGAACTGATTTCAGATGAACTGAAGCTGTTTTGTTCTCTCTTTCTTATACGATTATGTGTGTATGTATGTGTACATTGTTGTGCAATTCCAAAGTAGGATAACATAAACTATCCAAGACTCTTAAGTTATTAATGTCTTACTTAGCTAAACTCAGTCCATTATTATAAATGACACATTGTTTTTTTTTAAAACATTAATATTCAATTGACTGATTTATTTACATTCAGATCTTAACATTCATAATCCCTATCCATTGTATATATCCCATTATTCTTTTAATAAATAAGTCTTTCTTCAATATTTTGATCAAAGCTAAACTTATCTCTATATTATTGTCATTATAGAACGAGTTGATAAACTGGACATTACTATCCATTTTGCTTATTCATCTACTTATCTAAATTCTATAAAGAGAAACTGTTGATACCTTAGTAACTTCATAAGATGATAAAGAATACTAATAATAATAACTTTAATGGATACAATTTTCACTTGATTCCCCACACAATGATCTAATTTTCTTATTGATCCTTTAAGAAATTATTAAGATTGAATCTTTAGATAAGATAGACAGAAACTTTTTTTCTCTCTTAATTAAGATTTCCAACCACTCACCCAACCTCGCCACCCCTCTCAAGAAAAGAAGAAAAAACAATGTGAATTATGCATTTGTAACTTAGTAACAAGTATTGTATACAAGTGAGAGAGAGAGGGGGGGAATTAGATTCAATAATCTATTCAATTAGCTATCAGAAAGAAACAATAAACGTAATCATAGTAATAAAGTAATCACGACTGGTTACTACTTCATAAAAATTTATCTAAACAGAAGTATACATAAAGATGAATACACACAAATGTACAGATATACATGCGCACACACACACAGAGGCGAAGATACAATTTCTTGTGGATCATTTTATCTTTAATTCATAGAAAGTGATTTTTGTATATAGTTCGTTGTTGTTAAAAATAAATCTGCGCTTGACTAGTTACAGAAAGTGAGAAAGTAAGCAAACAATACAAAGTGAACTCTTGAGAAGACCATAAGAGTCAAGTGGATTTGTAAAATCTCATTTAACAGTTGATTAGTTTGTGAATAAGATAGTGATTAGAAATTTGAAAGACATTAAAATTTCAGAAGGGGTTTTGTGAATATTATAGTCATTTTAATAGTTGAGATCATGAGTCAATTGAAGCTAGACCATCATGAAAAACCTGGAATCACTGGAATGTCGTTTCATCCTGTTGTGGGACTCCTCAGTAGTGCGTATCCATGATTCAGCCTCGCGAGATTCGAACCCAGGACCTATCAGTATCCTACCAGATTTCTATGGTGCTATAAGATCAATTGACTCGTTATCTTAACTATTAAAATTACATTGAAATTTAATAAAAGAATTTTGTAAAGATTGACTGAATTTGTACATGATATTTGTCATATATTGATCTTAATTAAATTATCATCGAAAACAAAGGAGTAAGTGATAATTGTTCTAGCTTAATATGGGATTTCCCAGCTGTTTATACACAAACACAAACACACAAGCCTACTATTCACCGTCTATTTCAGTATTATCAG